AAATAGGACATCTGTAACATTTTCAACAATAAAAATAAAAGCATGATGATCTTGGAACATTTTGAAAAAGATTGTGCCTTGTTTTTTTTTGGGTGGAATCAGGATAGAAAGTAATGGATGCTCTGAGTTGCAAATTTAAATATCGAAGTCTAAAATATACCAGGAAATTTCTGCCAATGAATTCTCTTTTGGAAATAGGAAAACTGTTCCCAATTTATTTTCTAAATGGAAAGAGTTCACTTTTAGAAATTGGTACCTGTAAATTAGCTATTTCCTAATGGCCTTTTCTCATTTAAACTTAACTTTTTTTTAAGCATGTTTCCGAGGGCAGACATACTCAAGCCCAATTTCTCTGTGACTAGAGATTTGTACAGGATTACATGGACATAGGGTAAGGGCTATTTTCCAATTCTTGTATCAGGCAAGTTATAAGTATGCTCTGTGTTTTAAAAGTACTTTGTTATTTAGGACACTTATTTACTTAGATAGCAATTAGGACTAAAGACTTCTTTCTATATCAACATTTCCCAAAGTGTGTTTGGAAATCTAGGAAAGTTAGTTCCTGGCTAAATTATTTATGAATGGTTCCATGGTATGTTTGGGAAATCCTATTTCTTTATTGCATCATTTTTCAGACCCTTTAACTACATTAATGTGCACTGTGAATTTTCCAAGGTTTTTTTGTTTGTTTTGTTTTGATCAGAAAACACTTTTCATTATCTACCCATGGTACAAATTAATTTGGAACATTAGGATGAGTATCCTATATAATAAAAGCCTAATATGCAAATTAATTGAATGGCGGAATGACCAGTCACATGACGTGCACTGACCACCAGGGGGCAGACAATGCAGGAGCTGCCCTCAGGCCAGCAAGGCAAGTGCCAGCAGGGCCCCTGCTCTCCCCGATTCCCCCCCAGAGGGAGGCAACTGGTTGGTGTGGATGGGCAGGGCTGGTGAGTGAGTGGTGACAGGCTGGCCAAAGCTGGTGCCAGTGGGGACCCCATGATCACCCCACTGGTCACCCCCACAGATCAGTCCTGATTGCCTGCCAGGGACCCTACCCGTGCACGAATTTCATGCACTGGGCTTCTGGTATATCATAAAGTTATGAGAGAACTACCTGGGCTTTGAAGACTTATTATAGTATTGCCTCATAAAGGGTCATTAAGTCTGGCCTTTACCAGGCTTTATTCAGTGGTAATCGGTTCTCTAGTATGTGGACTTTATTACACTTGTGTAAGTAATGGTTTTCAAGGTAATGCAATGGAAAGAAACAGCATCCTATCATTTACATGATGAATATTAATTTATTGAGAATAAGATACACTTTAGGTTTATTGAGTTCAGAGGTAGTCATGGCCAATACCCAATAAAAGTTTACATTCTTAATTTGTACACTTAAGGTTCTTAATTAGAAAGTCACTGAGAAAACTGCAAAAATCGTCGAGAAACCATCTATAAAAAGCCGTGGAATAGTTAATATGCTAAAGCATGACACAAGTTTGTAAGTAATACCGTACAATACCTGCTTGTTGGTGATACAAAGTGTATAATGAAGTTGGACTTTCCCCAAACTTCTGTTTTAGGTGTTAACTTTTTTTTTTTGTTTGTTTCTCTTTAACCAGTTTCTCCCTCTCTCCCAATCTAAAATCATGAGGAAGATATAAGGGATTTGTCATAAAATAGACATTAACTGTATTTTCACTGTGTACAATAAGAATCAAACTTCTCCGAAAGCAACTTATCCTGTTGCCATGAGACAATATGCTAGGCTCATCTTTCTGAATTTCCAAGGGAAATATATTTCCAATCAAGTGCCAGGTATCTTCACTTTCTGCAGGCAGAACACGCACATTTGCTTTTGGAACATCAAGTACATGCAACAACGCAAGTCTGAATGTGGCAAATGAGGCACCAAAATTAACACTGACACCTGCAGGGATTTAGCTACATTTCTTTAAAAGATTTGCTCATGTTTACATAATTCGAGCACGTACATCAGAAAAACTGTTGCTTCATGCAAGTTTCCTTAAGTGTAATTAAAGGATCATGCTAGCTAACCAATGTCTCATGTTTCCCCCCAGATCAATTCTATTTGTATCTGAGGCAAAAGATTTGGTCCTGGATAAGTTACATGGCCTTTAAAATATTGACCACTTGCGTGTTGGTAATTATCCTTCCTTCACTTGGGCGAGCACCAGTGCGGCTGCCACACTCTCTTCTGACAGCCACAGAATCAGGCCAGCAGAGCCTTCGTTTTACAGGAAAGGGAACTGAATGTGGGGTGGGCTTGAACCCAGGGCTCCTACCTATCATTTTACTGCCACATGCTATCTTTTCTTCCAGCTTGGAAACCTGTACCATATTGGTTTCTCTATGAAAGGAGTTATATCCGGACTTAGAACCTGAGGAACGTTCTGCAGGGAGATGTGGTGATCTGGTCGGAATTCCATAGTGTTTCTCCTCTTGGACACTTCACTGGATTAGCGTAGGGTGTAGCTCTGCTTACCAAACTCTTGCTACAAACCGTAGGGCATTGCTGAAAATACGTACCCCAGACCTGCTCAGAATTAAGTCCAGGTTTGGCGTGGATTTGGTTTGGAGATTATTTTAATTGTTTTGCTCATCTCTAAATAATTTTGATTCTGATAAAATTTCTGATTTAAAAAAAACATTTCTTTAACATTATGACTCATGAACCCAATTCAGATTTTGGTTCTCATGTTTCTTAAAAAAATCGCTACCATGATTTATTATTAGTCAATGTCACCCTAATTTAATTTAAAAATTAACAGTAAAAGAGTAAAAAATAATATTAAAAAGGAAAAAAAAAATCGCTGTCTTGGGAAAGGAAAAGTTAGAACTCAGAATGCCTGATTGAAAAATTCTTTTGGGCTTAATGGCAAATCAAGCCAAATTTCATATACTTTTATATGTAATATACCAAATCATTTTCTATAATATATTAACATACACTTTCACGTATAATGTTATTTAAATGAAAATGATCAAGATATTTAGCTTATTGCCAGATTTTAAAGAAGTGATTAAGAGATTATGTTATTTATATTAAACATGTTTGATTTTGTATAGATAGAATAAACTTGGCACAAGAATAGGTCCTAAATGCCCATGTATCTCCTATTCATAATGGTTCTCAAGCATTCAACATGTACCAAGCCAAGTATAGTTTCATTTTTTGTTTGATACTTCTCCTTATATAATGTTTTAAGTTAGGTTAACTGTCATTATAGTAAAGAATAATTGCTTCATATTCAGTACTAATGATAAAAATTTTGTTTTCCAATAAAATAAAAGTAGCCTTACAGTTAATAGGTAACATAATACCTTTACTATGAAGCTTAGGATAAATGCAAAGTCCAGTAAAAGCACCGTATTTGAATTTATTTCTTGATATATATATGAAAACACTCTCCTGTCAGCATTACTGGGAACCAGAAATTGCCAAAGCATGAGATGTAGTTTAACTCAAAGCCCTATACAATTTCTGGGAGACATTGGGAGTAGCAGATTGCTGGATTTGTTCATTCATTCAATTTCTAATATGTTCTCTGAGGATATAAAAACGCACTTTTCAAACAAATTAGCCCATTGGTCCCAAAGAGCTCAATCTAACAGAGAAAACTCATACCTGGCAGAAGATTATAATACAGTGTTATAAATCCAATAGTAGAAGTAACCTGTTTTATTTGGGGAGCAAAGAGGAAGGTCCCCAGATTGACTGGGAGGAGGCGAAATGGAAAGAAATGGAATGATGGTCAGCAAAGGCTTCCTGGAGGAGTCGATGCCTGAACTGAGTTGTAAAGAGGGAGGAGAAAGCAAATGTGGGTCAGAAGGGCATTCCAGACACAGGGATTCAACAGGACATTAGGTGTTGGTAGGTGGTTGATTTTTGTTTTAAAGAGATTCCCTTCCCCAGTGCTGTGTGGAGGATGGATCTGAAGAGGAGGAAGCTGGGAGCAAGGGACGGATGGTCCAGCTGTTGCAGTGGTGCAGGTGAGCTGTGACAGCCGGAGCTTGGCAGTGTTAGTAGTCCTGGAGGGAGGGTAGAATTGATATTTATAGTCTTTAGTGACTGAGGGGATATATGGGGTATCAGAGGAGGAAGAAGTATCAAGGACGGCTCCCAGGTTTGGTAGGACCAGGAATTGAGACAGGATACAGGAGGAAGAGCAGCTCTAGGGAGAGTTCCATTTTCGCATGAGTTTGAGGTACCTCTGGGTCACATCCAGGTGGATAGATATCCAAGGGGAAGTTGGATGTGAGTCTGAAGCTCAGGCAACAGGCTAGAATCACACACTTGGGGTTATCAGCACAACAGAGGACTGTTGGCATCCAGGTGCTGAACGGCAGGGACACTTAAAAAGACCCATTATTTTGGGACTCTGTAGGCACAACCTTGTCATACTATTAGGACCATATTTTCTTGGGCCACTGAGACATGGTTGCCTATTTTCTCTCCTATTTCCTTAGAACATTTGCAAAGCTAAGTATGCCCAGTCTTGTTATAATTTTTCCCTGCCCTGAGAACTAACAATATATGGCACTATCTCTTCATATATAGCACTCATAGCAAGGTCTTGGTATATGACAGGTGATCAATAAATGTCCACGTTCATCACTTATATTCATCTGTCTCTCTGTACACAGACTTATCTTTTCTTTTTTTTTTCTTCTTGCAGGAACTTCATTTTTGCTCCTCAAGTTTAACTTCTTACCAATTTCTAAGATGCGTTTAAAATTAAATGTAAGTGGGCAGTACTTGATAGTTGGGTGTCTTCTTTTCATCATCAAAGCTAAATAATTCCTTTCGTTATCACCACACATTTCTCGTTACAGGATTTAACCATTTGTCTTCTTAGGGAAGGATGGTGGAGTTTGTCCAGTTGTCTCACAGAGGGAGTTAGATTTGCAGTAACCTGGCATGAGTAATCCCTGATTCCAGGTGGTGATGGAGTTGAGTTTCACATTTTGCTTCACTTGAACAATATGTGAAAAAGAGTCACTAAAAATAAGAACAGACTAGGCTTTGTTGCAGCTGAGTGGCTTGGCAAAATACTGTATAGAGGAATCATAGGACATGAAAGATTTGATACTAGGCTAGAATCCAAGTGCCCTCTGAGTGGAAATACAATATCCTTTTTAAGAGCACTGAAGTCCTGGGATTTTTTTGGGATAATCACCTTTGTGAGGTATGGCTCTTGTCCAGGGACTGTAACCTGAGAAGAAAGAAGAAACAATCATCTGAATGATTTCAGATGTTTTGTGGTGCAAACACTAATATCCACCACCAAAATGCAACCTTTATGAAACACGTGGAACAGCCTGCCAGGCCTCCCAGGTTAGTAACCACTTCAGTTCTGCTCATTGAAAGAGTTACCCAATGTCTGTTGATATGGACAATAGTTGTTAATGCTGTTGCCAAGAATTACAAAGAGAAATAAATAGGTCCTTTATCTAGAGGTGTAAGTCAGGAGGAGGAAGCAGTAGACTGATCCTGCCCATCATTTTCATGGAGATTAAAGGTAAAGAGCTGTTTCGCTTGTTCCAAGTCTGTACTTAATATTCTGATTGGGTATCCAGATCCCTTATAAGTGGGATTATTGTCTTAATTTATTCCATTTCCTTGCAACTGATCCAAGTGTACAAGTTTACTGCTTCCTTATAAAGCTTTGATTTTACTTGAGACACAATCTGTACAACTAAATCAGATACCTATTCATTTAGTTCATTTACATATGCTTACCTGGGCTCAAACCAGTCCATGCTTTCTACCAGGGAGAAATGACTCAGAATTATGCATCTTAAATTAAAATTAAAACCTGTAATTTTACTTGCATTGGTTGGAAAACTTATTTGCTTTTGAAAGGACTGCAAAATATGTCTATCGCTTAATATAGTGCTAAATTTTGTGCATCAAATTTTACTTATAATGAATCTTAAGGAAATTGTGTCCATTTTTTTTTCTTTTTTTCCAAAATACATTTTGTTGATTTAAAAAATTTTTTTTTTTTTTTTTTAAACAGAGGAACAGAGAGGGAAAGAGAGCTAGAAACATCTATGAGAGAGAAACATTGATCAGTTCCCTCTTGCACACGTCTTCCCAGGGATGTGCCCACAACCAAGTTACATGCCCTAGACCAGAATCGAACCCAGGACCCGTCAGTCCGCAAGCCGATGCTCTATCCACTGAGCCAAACCGGTCAGGGCCAATTTTTTTTTTTAAAGTATATTTTCATTGATTTCGGAGAGGAAGGGAGAGAGACATCAATGATGAGAGAGAATTATTGATTGGCTGCTTCCTGCAAACCCCCTGCTGGGGATGGAGCCCACAGCCTAGGCATGTGGCCTGTTGGGGAATCAACTGACTTCCTGGTTCATAGGTTGACGCTTAACCACTGAGCAACACTGGCCAGGCCAAATCTATTTTTTAATAGCAGAAATTATGTTTCATGAAATGGGCATTAAAATGGTATTTCATAAAGCTTGCAAGTACTCTAGCTACATTGTTTATCATTAATAAGGGTTTTTTTCTTTTTTATAATAAAAAGTATAACAAAAAATAGGGTTTAGCCTTTATTAAAATATTAACTGCCAGAAAAAAAACAAGATTTTTTTTATTTGTTCCGATCATGCTCACCTCTCTCAGTCCCTGCCACAGGCAAGTCTGACGTCTTTTCCTTTGTCCTGATGTACTACTTTGGACTTGCAAGGCATATTTTTATATTCCTCTTAGGTGAGTATTGTGAATTTTGTAGTATTTTAATACCAATAACTAGAACTGTGTACTTACATTTAACGTATATGACCCAGGCAAGAGAAGGAGGTAATACTCTCCAAATTTGTTGGTTTTATAGGGGCAGATATGTTTTCTGTCTTGGACTTCTACAATTACATTGGGTAATGGATTTCCCTTTTGATCAAAAACTTGACCCTTTATACCTGTGAGACAAAACGAGAATTAAATGTTAACACCATGTATTATGGCATATGAAAAAAATTTATTCTAATTACTTAAGTAAAATATGCCCAATATTTACGAGCTGTTTTGAGTTAATGTTTGAGGAAAAAACCTTTTCAAAAATTGAGATATAATTGACATATAACATATTAGTTTCAGGTATGCAACATAATGATTTGATATATGTATATACTGTGAAATGATGACAATATGTTTAGTGAACATAGTTACAATTTTTTTTTCTTATGATGAGAACTTTTACTCTCTTAGCAAATTTCAAATTACAATACCGTATTTTTAATTATATTTACCACACTGTGCATTACATCTGCAGGACTTAACTTATTTTTGAACTGTTACCTTTTGACAACACATTGCTCCCACCTCATCCTGCCTTTGGCAACTATCAAGGTGTTCTTGGAATCCCTCTGTCTGACTTATTTCACTTAGCATTATACCTTCAAGGTCAATCCATGTTGCAAGATTTCATCCTTTTTCTATGACTGGATACTATTCCATTGTAAATATATTCCATTGTAAATATATATTCCATTGTAAATATATATACCACATTTTCTTTATTCACCCATTGACAGACACTTAGGTTGCTTCTATATCTTGGCTATTGTAAGTAATGCTGTATTGAACATGGGGGTGTAGAGACCTTTTCAAGTTAGTGTTTCCCCCTTGAAGTAGAATTGCTGGATCATATAGTAGTTATATTTTAACTTTTTTTTCCTTGTTGTTTAAAGTATTATAAATAGTAGAACATGTCTCTCTCTTTTTTTCCCACTGACCTCCCCCACTCAGTCACCCCTACCCTCGGCTCTTGCCCTCGTCCCCCTGCCTTCAGTGTCTTGGGTCTGTTGGTTGTGCTTATATGCATGCATACAAGTCCTTTGGTTGATTTTTTACCCCCCTCTCCCAACCTTCCCCTACCTTCCTGTTGTAGTTTGACAGTCTGTTTGCTGCTTCTTTGCCTCTGTCTATTTTTGTTTAACAGTTTGTAATGTTCTTTATTTTCCATAAATGAGTGAGATCATGTGGTATTTATCTTTCACTGGCTGGCTTATTTCACTTAGCATAATGCTTTCCAGATCCATCCATGCTGTTGCAAATGGTAAGAATTCCTTTTTTTACAGCAGCATAGTATTCAATTGTGACAGTGTTTCCCAAAGTGTGGTACGTATACCCCCAGGGGTACGGGAAGAGTTTGATGGGAGTACGCATTGCACTGGAGTTTGGTGGGGATATGCACTGCACCGTGCTTAGCTGCGCCCTAATTCTACGTTCTCATGAGTACGAGGGGTGCTCAGCGTTACGAAAATTATAGAAGGGGTACACATATGTCAAAAGTTTGGGAAACACTGGTAGATGTACCACAGTTTTCTAATTCATTCATCTGCTGATGGGCATTTAGGCTGTTTCCAAATCTTAGTTATTGTAAATTGCGCTGCTGTGAACATAGGCGTGCATATATTCTTTCTGGTTGGGTGTTCCTGTTTTCTTGGGATATATTCCTGGAAGTAGTATTACTGGGTCAAATGGCAATTACATTTTAATTTTTTGAGGAAACACCATACTGTTTTCCACAGTGGCTGCAACAGTCTGCATTCCCACTAGCAAAGCACGAGGGTTCCTTTTTCTCCGCATCCTCTCCAGCACTTGTCATTTGTTGATTTGTTGACAGCTATTCTGACATGTGTGAGATGGTACCATATGGTCATTTTGATTTGCATCTCTTGGATGATTAGTGACTTTGAGCATGTTTTCGTGTGTCTCTTGGCTTTCTGAATGTCCTCTTTTGAAAAGTGTCTATTTAGGTCCTTTGCCTATTTTTTGATTGGATTGTTTACCTTCCTTTTGTTAAGTTGTATTAGTTCCTTGTAAATGTTGGAGATTAAACCCTTATTGGAGATAACATTGGCAAATATGTTCTCCCACGCTATACTACAAAGCCACTGTTCTCAAAACTGCCTGGTACTGGCACAAGAACAGACATACAGACCAGTGGAACAGAACAGAGAACTCAGATATCGACCCAAACCATTACACTCAATTAACATTTGACAAAAGAGGCAAGAGCATACAATGAAGACAAGACAGTCTCTTCAATAAATGAAGCTGGGAAAACTGGACAAATATTTGCAAAAAAAATGAAATTAGACCACCAACTTACACTATATACAAAAATAAACTCAAAATGGATAAAGGACTTAAATGTAAGATGGGAAACCATAAAAATCTTAGAAGCCATAGGCAACAAAATAGCAGACATTTGTCGTAGCAATATCTTTGCTGATACAGCTCCTAGGGCAATGGAAACTAAAGAGAAAATAAACAAATGCGACTACAACAAAATAAAAAGCTTCTGCCCAGCAACAGAAACCATCAACAAAACTATTTTAACTTTCTGAAGAACCCCCGTGCTGTTTTTACACAGAGTCTGTACCACAAACGGTGTAAAAGGGTTCCTTTTTCTCTACATCCTCGCCAACACTTGTTCTTTCTTGTCTTTTTGGTAATAGCCATTCTGACAGGTGTGAGGCAATACACTTCATTGTGGTTTTGATTTGCTTTTCTCTGATGATTATTGATGTTGTGCACCTTTTCATGTACCTGTTAGCTATTATTCTTCTTTGGAAAAAAATCTCTATCCAGATCCTCTGCCATTTTTTCAGTCACATTCTTTTTTTTTGGCGGGGGGGGGGGGGGGGGGGAGGTTTGAAGGGGTGTGTGCAGAAACTGGCAAGTATGATAGGAGAGAGGTGGAATGATGGTACCTGCCGGTCTCCATCTATGGAGAACATTTCAGTAGGCACCTAGATGTGGGTAAATTAGAGGCCTGCCCCTCGGGTTGAAGCTCTAAGACAAGCAAACAGGCTTCTTTCAGAGAAAGACTGGGCATTTCTCAGCTGGCTGTCTCAGCGGGGGGGGGGGGGGGGGGGGGGGGATAGCCAGATGAGTCTTGCGAGCCCTCCAAGAACTGTTTCTTTATGTTCTATATCTTTGTGGGTTTCATTGATGCAAGACCCACATCTTTCGAAGTTAGATGTTTTGGGGGCTCATCTCTCGAGTGCAGTTCTTAAAAGATGGGGTGCTAGATGTAGGGTTCAAACCTTTCACACCTCAGGGAACAGAGTTGTGAGTTCCTTCCTGATTGTGGGTGCTATACTTGGAATAAGATTTATGGTGAGATCGTGTCTTAGCCTCTCCAAAAGTTTCAATGTTGTGTGTGTGTGTTTTTCCCCCTCATTCATTCAATATGTAGGAGTCTTTCAGGTAGTTTTTGAGTTTCTTTCAGAGGAATCTGTTTCATATGTGGCTGTAGATTTGGTATCTGTGGGAAGAGGTGAGTTCAGGATCCTCCTACATCACCATCTTGATCCAGAACTTGGTAAACTTACGTTTAATGTAATTAAAATACAATCAAGCTACCAATCTGATTTATAGGTTAAGTATGTTATATCAAAATCAGAAAGCATAAAATCCTAAATTCATTCCTGTCATTTTCAGTCACCAAACTGCACTGTGACTTTGCCACAGGTAGACTCCATAAAATCCTAAACAAAATGCAATAATACCAATGCATTACTTTACAACAGGATAATTATCTATTCAACAGTGTTGTCTGTCTCGCAGTCATGCAAACGACGTGGGTAACAAAATTATAATCACAGGGTTCATGGAATCAATTGATGGAGTCTTATCATTACTAATAACTGAATATTTATTGATCAGTTAGTATATTTCAGGTTCTATGCTATGTGTTTAATGTGCTTTTTTCATTGAATCCTCACATCAACTGTATGAGGTAGGCAATGTTATTACTACCACAGCTTTACCCGGTGAGGAAACTGGTATGGCTTACTCAATAACCTTCTCCAGCTCACATAACCAGCTACATGGCACAGCCTAGGTGTGAGTCCATGCTAGTCTCCAGGGTCCACACTGAACCAACAACAGACCCATTTTCTCAAAATTTCAGAACTATGGTTAGTTAATAAAAGGCTATTTACATTTCAAACTCTTCTCACTTCACATTCCAGACCTAGAGACAGTTCTTCAAGCTAGGGAAGGTTGGGGTATTTAAATGTCACTGTTGCTGAACAAACACAGGCCATGCTTAAATATGGAATTTCTATTGGAGGGAAACCCCATACATCAGCCAAATGAAAGCTGTCCTCCTACCTCACATGCCTGTACAATATTCTGTCCAGGCACCATCCAACCTTTCATTTAGAGGGGAGTAATTGTTTTACCAGAAGACACAATTTATTTTTATATGTTGAAATTGAAATATTGGAAAAAGACCAGTAGCTCCAAAGATATGCAGAGAGAGCCAGTACTATTACATCAGGGGAATAAAAAAGTAAAATTTTAAAAAAAGCTCAGATAATAAACAAAGGAGAATAAGACCTGAGACTTAACTTTTGTGGGCCCACCTGAAAACGAGGTAGAGAAATGTAAAGCTCTCATTCCCTTGGAAATGTATCAGCTTCGTGAATGAAAAGCCCTTGTCTGGCAAGAACTGGAATTCTGCATCTGGAAAGCAGAGTCCACGCTGGGTGGCACTCGGAGACGGCGTGTCCACTCCCTGTTCCCACCGAATGACCACCGTTGCCACTTATTCGGACGACAGATCGACAGATATCGATCTGTGATCCATCGGCTTCTGGAGCTCAGCACGAGCCAGATGCTCTTTAGGACAGATTGCTTAGGTTTCTGGGCGCAGTGGGCCATCCCCCAAGCCTCAAGGTTCAGATCTGCTTTGAGGAGAGAGGACAGCAGTGGGCAACATTGTGTCCTGCTCATCTTTGCTTCTCCCCAGAGGGGGGACAAGCACTCCAGGCCCCTAGAATCAGACTTGCCCTCTTTTGCTACCTTGGCCTTAAGGTGTGCCATCCCCATTAAAATACTAACGGCATTCTTCTCAACTAGAACCGGTCCTAAAGGTATGTGGGGTCACGGAAGACCCTGAATAGACAAAGAAGCCTTGAGGAAAAAAGTGGGAGGGATCTCGCTTCCTGACTTCAAACTGTACCTAGAAGGTTTCAGAGTCAAATTAACATGGAATAACGGATATATAGGTCACTGGAGCAGGCAGAGAGCCCAGCAGGTGACCGAAGCTGCCGTGTGGACAAGTGGCTTGCTCAAAGTTTTGCACGGGCAGATTACAAAACAGCGTGGGAGCCAAAAGCGGTTTGCTCAGTGGATAGAGTGACGGCCTGCGAGCTGAAAGGTCCCTGGTTCTATTCTGATCAAGGGCATGTACCTTGGTTGCGGGCAAATCCCCAGTATTGGGTGTGCAAGAGGCAGCTGATGGATGATTCTCTCATCAGTGTTTCTAACTCTCTATCCCTCTCTCTTCCTCTCTGTAAAAAAATCAATAAAATATATTAAAACAAACAAACAAACAACAAACAAAAAACACAGTGTGGGCCTTCCTGTTTTCTAGGCCAGGCCCCTCCATTACAGGGAGACAGGCCAGAGACTTCCGGTAGGTCAAAATCTGAGGCTTCTGCCGAAGCCGATTTGGCTCAGTGGTAGAGCGGTCTGCAGACTGAAAGGTCCCAGGTTGGATTCTGGTCAAGGGCATGTACATTGGTTGTGGGCACATGCCCTGTGGGGGTGTGCAAGAGGCAGCTGGTTGATGTTTCTCTCTCATTGATGTTTCTAGCTCTCTACTCCTCTCCCTTCTGCTCTGTAAAAAAAAATCAATAAAAATAGCCCAAGCCGGTGTGGCTCAGTGGTAGAGCATCGGTCTGTGGACTGAAGGGTCCTAGGTTCAATTCTGGGCAAGAGCATGTACATTGGTTGCGGGCACATTCCCGGTAGGGGGTGTGCAAGAGGCAGCTGGTCGATGTTTCTTTCTCATCGATGTTTCTAGCTCTCTATTTCTCTCCCTTCCTCTCTGTAAAAAATCAATAAAATATATTTTTTTTAAATAAAATAAAGCACTTTCAACCTTTAATTTAAAAAAATCAATAAAATAAAAAATCTGAGGCATCTTACTCAGCAAGTGGCGAAACTGTACCAGTAATGTGACTGACAAATATCAACAATTTCCTTAAACCAGAACAATCCCAAGGAGGAGGTGTTTGCTCCCATCACCCACAAACAAAGATGTTCTTTGCTGCCTATTGGGCACCAGTATAAAGAGAACCTTTCTTCCTATCTATCAAGTAACAATAACCACACTGTATCAGTGTTTTGAAATAGGGTTTCAATGTTAAGCTAGAAAACAAACAAGCACCTCTGTATTAAACCACAAGGGGGCAGGGTTGATGTGCTGATGAATATATGTGCATATCTGGTTATAGAGCCAGACAGACAGACACAGCTTCTTTATAAGACCTAGTGTCAATGGACTTGTTCCCCTTCCAAATTGATAATGGCAATAGCTATGCTATAGTTTGTATGCTACTGAACAGCTTACAAAGCTCCTTCACTGGCAACATTATGCCAGCAAGCCAAGCTACATCAGGGCCTGCCTTAATTCAGTGCTTGGGGAGTAACCTTGACAAGTAGGTTGAAATTCCAAAGATAGGGGTGCAGTTCCATGGGGCCCTTGCATGTCCGTTACCCTCCACTGCTGATGGTGATGAGGAGGAATTTTAGAAAAGAATAGGCAGAGTACACACTAAAGGATCGATATAGTCCTAAATACAATAGAAAGGTTAAACCAGTGTGTGTCTCATGAGGAAATGTTGTGGATAAATACTAGGATATTAAGCTAGAGAAGACCCCAAACAAACTTTGATGACAGTTAGAAAGGAGAAAGACACAATAATAAGCTTAATAAATGTTGTTATGCCCTGGCCAGTGTGGCTTAGTGGTAGAGCATGGGTCTGTGCAACAAAGGATCTCAGGTTTGATTCCTGCTCAAGGCACACACGCTGGTTGCAGGTTCATTCCCTGGTCCTGGTTGGGGGTGTATATGGGAGGCAACCAATCTATGTGTCTCGCTCACATCAATGCTTCTCTCTCTCTCTTTGTCTCTCTCTCTCTCTGTCTCTCCCCATCTCCCTAGCTCCCTTCCAATCTCTAAAAATCAAATGGAAGAAATATCCTCGTGTGAGGATTAACAACAAACAAATAAGCAAATGGTATTAATATGCTAGTGAAACAGAAAGATGAAATTCTGTAGCATCTGCCACAGGGAATCAACCTACCCTATACATGTCTCAGCCAGTTAAGCACAGTCCTGGGAATTCATCAGTAATCCCTGCGTACTCATGTTGGGGCAGGGGCATGGGAATGGGAAAATAGGTATGCAAGGTGGAGGGCCACCCATGCTTTGGATAAGCGGTCAAGGAAAGCTCTTAATTCTCCTTGTCGTCAGTCCTATGCTTCTGTGCTGCATTGTGTTCCCCCCTTGATAGCAGGTGGGAAGCATCTACAGAGCCACAGGAGGGATGCAGTTATGCAGCAAGCACACCCTGCAAACCTCTTCAGCACAGACAGACACCCCAATGTGGCTGGATGTGGCAGCATAACTTTTGTGTCAGTTCTTGATGTTTTCCCCCCAAGCCATTCTGGATGGAGAAAAATAACTTCAATTCTGGCAACGAAGAGCCTTCCACACCCCGCCCAGAGGTGATGCAGACTATCAAATGAGCATGAACTGTGAGTGACTCCATCACCACCGCCCGCAGCGTCGGCATTCCCCGGGAGATGCTAACCGTTCAGGACCCACTGAGTCACACCCTGGGGTGGGACACACCCTGGGAGGGGACCCGGCAACCTGTGTTTTAACAGCCCCCCAAAACCCCGGGGAGTCAACTGCTCACGTTTGAGAACCACCACTCTCCCCACAGTTGGTCTGTCCATCCATGATAAAGGCAGAGAGCTGTCAAAACACAGGCTGGGAGGATTCCCAGTGCCAGGCCATTTGGCAGAGGGAAGGATGGGTGGGAAGGGTGAGAGTCAGTAGTGCCCCGTTGGCATGTCCACCGTTCCGTGAGTCTGGGACATGGCCTGGCGGATGACAAGCAAATTTGGCTCTTTCCTAACTGGGTGATGATGGAACAACCCGTTTTCCTGATCTTCTGCCAGCTCTCCAGGCCCCTCAGCCTGTGCAGTTAGAAGTGCTTGGTATCACGTGCCCACATTAAAGCAGCACACACCGTGCTTTCTCTCAGACGGACCTGCGGGCATGGCGCCCGCAGAGAATTCTCAACCGCTAGCTCTGTGCGGAAGCGGGGCCGGACTGAGGAGACACGAACAGGCACTCGCACTTTCCCAGCCCGAAGGTGCTGCTAGATGTCATGTGCTGTGACGGGAATGAATCAGGAAATCTTACAAACCTAGGTGCACCTGTTTTATGTATTCAATCAGCGAGGCTTTGTTGGAATCCCAGAAGAATGGAAGCTTCTCCTCGCGAGGATATTTGCAGCATGACAGCTCCAACGTAATTTCAAAGCACTGGGCCCAGATGTAGTTATAATCCTGCATTCCACCTAAAGCACAAGCACAGTCAATATTGTCAAGGTCTACAATTGGAGTGGAGCCAAGCGTCCCAGCCCTTGAGGACCAATGAATCAGACAGCTGCACGGAAAGTACGTGTAAACAGGAAAAGGTGAAGTTGGCATAATAGCACATAAAATCAGGGCTTGGCAACTCATTACCCAGGCATGACCGGGCAACCCTAAATCTTCCCATATGGGTCACTAGATCACAGCTGACTGACGTTCAACTGTGTCTGACATTAAGTGAGGGGCAGGGGAAGGTTCCAGTTTGTAATCATACATTACAAAAGGATGTTTCGAATTATCTTTCTTTCCTAAATTACATTTTAAACAGATGTACACTACAGTGTCAGTTTTTTTAAAATATTCCTACAGCCCTAGCTGGTTTGGCTCAGTGGATAGAGCATCAGCCAGTGGACTGAAGGGCCTCTGGTTTGAGTCTGGTCAAGAGCACACTGCTCAGGTTTCGGGCCAAAAGGGGGTGCAGTGGAGAGCCGATCAATAATTCTCTCTCATCATTGATGTTATTATCTCCCTCTCTCCCCCTCTCCCTTCCCCTTTGAAATCAATAAAAATATTTAAAAAAATTTTTTTAGATATATTTTATTTATTTTTTACAGAGAGGAAGAGAGAGGGTTAGATGTTAGAAACATCGATGAGAGAGAATCATCGGTCAGCTGCCTCCTGCACAACCCCCACTGGGGACGTCCCGCAACCAAGGTACATGCCCTTGACCGGAATCGAACCAGGGACCCTTCAGTCCATAGGCCGATGCTCTATCCACTGATCCAAACCGGTTTCGGCTTAAAATTTTTTTTTAAAGCTAAGTAGTACACTAATTTGGAGGAATAATGATGGTTAACATTTAATGTTCACTATTGCTGGGTACTGTCTAAAGAGCTTTGTATCGACTCATTTAAGCCTCACAGCAATTGTTATCCCTGCCAGAGGCCCGGTGCAAATTCGTACAAGAGTAGGCCTTCCTTCCCCTGGCTGTTGGCATCGGCTTCCCTCTGGCATCCAGGACCTGAGCTTCCCTCGCAGCCCCAGCTTTGTCCACAAGGATGTCCCGTCTAATTAGCATATCATGCTTTTATTATTATAGATTTTACAGATGAGAAAACTTAGCCAGAGATGGTAACATGCCCAGGGATTCTGGCAGAGGGTGACAGACCAGGGCACAGGCTCCTGCCCGGGCCGCCGTGCTCTCAGCCAGGACATCGCGCTGTTTCTGGAAAGGAAGAGGGTGCTGCGCTGACTGAGTCAAGAGGCCCAGGCCCTCTTGCGCTCTGGGGTTGCTGGAATCCACACTTTCCAGTTCTTCTCCCTGCAGAGCCTGTTTTCAACGGGTTAGAATCATACTTCATCTTCTTTGAGATGCAAAACTTTCCATATTTTAAGATCTCTGAATTAGGATGTGTCTAAAATTTGATAGCTAAAAAAACATCATTGTGTCATTAGTTTGGCTGGAAGCATTTTTTTTTTTCTTTCTTTCTCGGTAGTATATCGTATTTTACAATCAATGGCATTTTTGATTTGATGAACTAAAATATAGTAATTCTGAAGGAAGTAGTTTCTGCCAGATTTTAATTTGTTATACTTGATATCTACCCAATAAAATACATATTCTCACCGAAGCTGGTTTGGCTCACTAGTAGAGCGTCGGTCTGCGGACTGAAAGGTCCCAGGTTCGATTCCGGTCAAGGGCATGTACATTGGTTGCGGTCACATCCCTGGTGGGGGGTGTGCAGGAGGCAGCTGGTCAATGTTTCTCTCTCCCTTCCTCTCTGTAAAATACATATTCTCAATTCCATCAGGGTATTTGGGAGGTACTAAAGTAGAAAAAAATTTCATGCTAAAACAATGGCCAGAATAAATCAAAATATTATTTAAATGTTAAATAGTATCTATGTAGGTCCAGATTCCAGCCAGGAAGAATTTCTCTGTTCTATTTTTTAAAATAGAGTTTTGTGTTTCTCTGACCTCATTTTCACCATGAAATGGAAGAAGGGAAAAGTGGAGAGAGAATCAAAACAAGCGCTTGGCAGATGGCTATGTCTCAGGCAGATAGACCTTTAATGGGAAAACAGGTGTGCAAAGCATGCGGGACGGAGAAGGCCAAGTGTGGAGAGTGTGTGCACCTCTGGACAAGGCCCGTCAGGCCTGGCTGACAGACACCCAGGCCGAGCCAGAACGCTTTGATCCAAGCGCCTTCAAGTAGCTGGCTCTGCCTGCCTTTTCCTCTCTGAAGGATACACAGCTGACACACAGGCACACTTCGGAACATTCCTGGCAGCAAGGTTGGGTTCCTAGCTAATTTCCCACACATCTGGATCTGCCTGGAAACATGCACAGTGTATCTGAGGCACCGCTCTGCCAATGGGCAAGAAGGGCCCTTTCCTCCCTGTGATGAGCAGGGATTAAGCAGGAGCCCCGAGCTGGAGGCGGGGCGGGGGTGGGGGGGATGTGGAATAGGCTGTAGGACAGGACAGAGAAGTCTGGGACGTCATGGTGTCTAGCTGGCCCTGCTGCCTCGCACTCGTGGTCTATGCTTATCTATATTTCCTGGAAAGCTGGAGCAAGCCACCCAGGCACCGCAGTGCCAGCATATGCAGGACTTCCTCAGGCCTCTGCTCCCAGAGGGACAACTGGGGAGTGGCCTGTGTGCAGAAGTGTAGCCTGAAGCTCGCAGCCGGGAGGGTCAGGCCAGCCAGCCTCGAAGGGGCACTCTCCCCTGATGCCGTGGAAACCGGTTCCAGCACCGTTTTCCCTCCCACCCTTCCATCCCCAGTCCCTTCCGTTATCTTTCAGTTCCCCGACTAAGGTGAGTTCTCTGACATCCCTTATCCCAGGGCTTCTGCTTACATTGTTCCTTCTGATAAGAGCATCCCCCCTCCCATGTTCCCTACCTGGCAGTCCTCTACCTTCCCTCCCTCACTGGCCATCCAGTTCCAAGGTTGGAAAACTGGAGCCCCTCTCTACTGTATCCAGTCTGAAGAGTATTTTGTTTAGCTTGCAAAGTGGCTTTAACACCACGAGCCCTCATGTACGAATCCAGCTTGCTCTATCCACTGGAAGATCTGGCAGCACTGGGCCTCGCTGTGGCCTGACAACTGTTACACCTGGATCTCGGCAGCAGCTGTCCCCATCAGACGAGACGTAAGCATTCCGTTTCTCCAGGGTCTTTACCGCTTCCTATTGTGTTTTGGCTTTTCACCCCAGTACACTGTACCTTTCCTCATTTCCATTTCTATTTTCATTAGACTGCCATGGCAATGCTTTAATTGCATGTTGCTCTTCCCTATCAAACTGAGGGGGGAAAGGGAGGGGGAGAAGAGCTGTGACCTGTTCATCTTTCTTGGCACCATTCCTGACTCATCATAGAAAAAGCGGAACAAGCCGAAACCAGTTTGGCTCAGTGGATAGAGCATCAGCCTACGGACTGAAGGGTCCCAGGTTCGATTCCCGTCAAGGGCATGTACATTGGTTGTGGGCACATCCCCAATGGGAAGTGTGCAGGAGGCAGCTGATCGATGTTTTTCATCAATGTTTCTAACTTTCTATCCCTCTCCCTCTCTGTAAAAAAAAAAAAAATCAATAAAATATATTAAAAAAAAAAAAAAAAGTGGAACAAGCATCGGAGTGAATGAGGGCGGCCTTGGCAGTGAGGAACATGTCTGAGCACCTCTCAAACGACCATCCCCGCCACCGCTCTAGTGATGGACGGGACCGCACGGTGCCTGACACACCTGACAGCCAGCTGGTAGCCCTGGGCAGGCAAGAGGAGCTGGCAGAAATGGAGCGAGACTCACCTTTGAGTGGATACCACTCGTATCCATTTACAATCCCGTTCCGAAAGTTCATTTTGTTTTTACAGTGATCTCCTTTCTTCATGTTGACATTTTTGGAGGCGTAGGAATTTGCAAGGTATTGAAAGACATCATCATCAGGGGTTAAGCTCCGGGAGTGCACTTTCCCCATTGCTGTACGTGAAAGACAAACCAAGATCGCTGCGTTGACATTAGAGTAAGAGGCAGCACACAGTGCCATAGGAGCAGGAACCACCACCAGCGCATCACACGCGAAGGCTCTCATCGCTTAGAGAGAAATCCTCTACCCACTTCCGTGAATGCTCCCTCCCCTCCCTTCCTAGTGTGTAATGAGCACACACAAGGTGACATCACACAAAATAAGCCCTCTGTAAATCCAAATGCCTCCTCAATCAGCTGAACAGTTAAAATGTCCTCTTAGTCACTCTTGCTAATTTCTGGAGGTCAGTCAAGTTTCCTTGGGTGCCGTAGGGGTTAAATGAAACCACTGTCATGTTTTAGGTCCTGGGTATACCTCATCCTGCAGAGTTTTAAGAGGAGTCAGCAATTATTACTCATACTAGAGGCCTGGTGAACAGAATCATGCACCAGTAGGGTCCCTCAGCCTGGCCTGCAGGGATCTGGCTGAAATCAGCTCTCTGACATCCCCTGAGGGGTCCCAGATTGCAAGAGGGTGCAGACCAGGCCAAGGGACCCCACCAGTGCATGATCAGGTCTAGGGAGGGCCCGTGGGAGTGCTCCAGGGCGTGTCCAGCCCATCTTGCCCAGTCCGGATGGGTCAGACCCAATCAGCAAGCTAACTTACTGGTCGAAGTGTCTCCCCCCTGGTGGTTAGTGCATATCATGGCAATGGGTAGAATGAATGGTCAGACACTTAGCATATTGGGCTTTTATTATATCAAAGAAAGGTAAGTTGCTCTAGTTTTATTTTCCCTTCGCTATGCTGCCTTTTGTGAGGTCTTCGAAATCCCAATTTTATGGTTTCACTGGCGAATGTCAAGCAGTCCTGCTGTTGCTTGTCAGGTCAGCCACACTGCCCACCTACTGTTTACATGTTGTAGGAAGGATGGCTCAGGGTTGAGAAAATGAGGCTCTTTCTCCCCCTGCCAGAGCAGTTACATGGGGAGAGAGCTTATCCCCATTCAGAGGCAGAGTTCACAGTTCCACTCCGGGCTCAGGCCGCCAGGGCCAGCCCAGTTTGCTTACCTGAAACGCCGTTATCGAATGGGTAACTGGCCACCAGGGCACCGCCGTGGAGGTTTGCTGAGAGGACAAACGTCTCCGTTTTCAGCCACTCCATGACTGCCACAGTTTCAGGCTGCCTCGATTCATTATTAAACTCAAAACCATCGGGGAAATTTCTGTTCAGGTCGTAGAAGTTATTATTTTCCCTTTCAAAGAAAGAAATGTTGGGGGTTTACTGATGGCATGTGCGGGAGAGGATTCGTGTAAACGTTTTATTGGGCTCCAGGGGATTTTCCCCGGGAGTGCAGGGGCGGTGGGTGGTTGTCGTGGTGCCTCCAAAGAGCCACACCCGGCACTCACACACTACACAGCCCCCTCTCCTGGGACTTGCTCTCACCAGCAGGACCAGTAGCTACTGGGATGTAAGCAGAGGTTTGAGTGTTTCCATTTGGGGGCTGTTGCTCTTTCCACCCGGTTGGGAATCCCGAGATCCCAAAGTTAGCCACTGGAGAGTCCACACAGAGGCGTGAGGAACCCAGGTGACCATCGAAGTGAGACTCCAGACGTGTGGTCCCATGTTAGTGGTCTCAGACAGACCCCAGCGGAGGCCCGGACACCACGGCCCGGGGCTCAGCCACCCTCCTCTCCGCTGTGCTGCCCAAATCCCTAACATACAGAACTGAGAGTCAGTAAAAAAGAGCTTGCTTTAAGTCCCAATATGTTGGTTTGTTACAAACTATTTGATAACAGAAACCTCTGGGAAGTGCTACTTGGGAAGAGGACTGGCCATGTGTAAATATGCTAGAAAACCTCAAAGGGGGTCACATGGTGAGATTCTACTTATTTTGGGTAGAAGCAACCAAACTTTTAGTTGCACGAATATAAGTGTACCTCAGACATTTGAGAAATTCCAAACTGCCCGAATTGAAACCAAATAAACGGTTTACGTCAGAAACACTACTTTCCACGCTGACAGTGCTCTCGCAGACACGGCGAATGTTCCTACAACGCGCCCGACTGCCTATGCGTGTGACAGCAGCAGCCCCACAGAGTGACCCGGGGCGAGAAGCTGGGGACCTCGGCGTTGGGCCAGGAAGTGGAGTGGCTGAGGTGGGCGGACGAAGCCGATTTTCCCACAAAAAGGCTAACAGCACAAAGAAGATGGTGCCGCGGCTTCAAAGCGATGACCCCAGCGGCGGGTCTGAAGGAACGCTGGCTACGAAGAGGTGCCAGCGCTGTGAACTGGGAGATGATAAGAAGAGAAAGGGCCACGTGACCCGGTTCTAAGCTTCCTACTTTGTTTTATAATGAAGAAAAAAAAAAAAAATCTTGAGGATCTGTTCACTTAAAAACAAAAATACTGCCGAAACCGGTTTGGCTCAATGGATAGAGCATCGGCTTGGGGTCTGAAGGGTCCCAGGTTCGATTCCGGTCAAGGGCATGTACCTTGGTTGCGGGCACATCCCCAGTAGGGGATGTGCAGGAGGTGGCTGGTCAATGTTTCTCTCTCATCGACGTTTCTAACTCTCTATCTCTCTCCCTTCCTAGCTGTACAAAATCAATAAAATATATTTAAAAAACAAAACAAAACACAAAAAAACAAAACAGCCGAAACCAGTTTGGCTCAGTGGTAGAGCATCCGTCTATGGACTGAAGGGTCCCGGGTTCGATTCTGGTCAAGGGCAAGGGCATGTACATTGGCTGCGGGCACATCCCCAGTAGGGGATGTGCAGGAGGCGGCTGGTCGATGTTTCTCTCTCATCGATGTTTCTATCTCTCTATCCCTCTCTCTTCCTCTCTGTAAAAAATCAATAAAATATATTTAAAAATAAATAAATAAAATAAAATAAAATATATTTAAAAAAAAATATTGTAAGACTCATCTTCTTTTTGTTGTTATTAGTTCTTGTCCTGGCTTCATACATCCGGAGGTACTTGTTGAGGGCCTCGGCGCTGTGCGGGGCGCTGGGGATTTAACAATGAAGAACGCAATGGCCGGGGAGCTCGCAGTTTGGACGTTGGAGATGGTGCTCTGGGAGTGAGGAGCCAGGGGACATGGGCATCATTTGGGGCCTCATCCCCGCTGGGCCAGGGCGGGAGGCTTTGAGGACCAGCTGTCTGAGGAGTGGGACGTGCAGGGCGCCCGCGGTGAGGAGGAGCTGCGAGGTTCGGAAGACCAGGCTGTGGGAGCTGCGGCAGCAGCGGAGGGAGGAGGAGCGGCGGATGAAGCAGGAAGGGGGGCACAGGAGGAAAAGCAGCCGCCGCATTCGGATTTCCCTTTCCATCCTGCAGGCCGCCGGCAGGCAGCCCTGGAGAGTTCTCAGCGCGGCGGGGATGTGGCACCGGCTCTGAGGTGGTTCCCTGTCCTCGCACAGGGCCCAGGGACGGGATAGGGAGCTTTTTGTTATTTTGTTTTATCTCCCCCCCGCCCCCCCCCTTAAATATAGTTTACTGATTTTTTTTACAGAGAGGAAGAGAGAGGGATCGAGAGTTAGAAACATCGATGAGAGAGAGTCATCGATCAGCTGCCTCTTGCACACCCCCCACTGGGGATGTGCCCGCAACCAAGGTACATGCCCTTGACCGGAATCGAACCCGGGACCTTTCAGTCCGCTGGCGGATGCTCTATCCACTGAGCCAAACCGGTCTCGGCATATTTTGTTTTATCTTAAATAAAGATCGACGAGCCCATCCTTACCTTCCATTAGTGTTAAAACAGTCAGGCTTTTTGACAGCTTCGAATCCATCTGGATTCATGGAAGGCATGATGTGTATCCGGGTACTATTGATTAGACGGGTGATTTCAAAGTCTTTTCCGTCATTGGTTACGAGATAGTCAATTAAATGGAGCAGCAGTTCCCGCCCTACAGTCTGCGGGTGGGGAAGGGGACATCATTAGGTCAGAGAACAGTTGGAATCCCCAGCAGGGGACTCCACACGTGGTAAATGTTACCAAACCAGCTGTGAGAGAGACCCCTGTTTCCCAAGCACACGGAGCCTCTGGCGAGTGACAGTCAACCACGGGTGTGCAGGAAATTGTTCATTCGTAGAAGTTCTTTTAGAAGTTAATTTAAAAAAGACCCACCTGTAAATAAGTTACTTTAAAAAAGGGAATTAGAGTGAACCCAAAACACTAATCTGAAAGAATATATGCACCCCAGTGTTCACTGCAGCATTATTTACAATAGCCAAGCTATGGAAGGGACCCAACTGATAGAACAGTGGATAAAGAAGCTATATATATATATATATATCAATCACTTGGCCATGAAAAAGAATGAAGTATTACCATTTGCCACAGTATGGCTGGAGGGTATTATGCTAAGTGAAATAAGTCAGAGAAAACAAATACATTGCCAGAGGTGGGGGTGGGGGGATGGGTCCTAATATATGGAGAGAGGAGAATATTTCACTTTGGATGGTGGGCACATGGCACAATATACAGATCCTATAACACAGCAACCCACACCTGAAACCTGTATGTTCACGTGGACCAATGTCACCCCAATAACGTCAATAAATATTTTTAAAAAGGAAAAACAAATACCATATTATTTCACTTATATGCATGTGGAATCTAAAGAGCAAAATAAATGAACCAATAAAACAGAAACAGACTGATAGATACAGAGAATAGACTGAGGTCGCCAGAGGGGTGGGGGCCTGGGGATCTGGGTGAAAAAGTACAAATGAGAGCTACAAATAGTCATGAGGATATGCAGTACAGCACAGGGAATATAGCTAATAATATTATAATAACTATCTATGCTGCCAGGAGGGTACGAGAAATATTGCTGTACACCTGAAACTAATACAAAATATTGAATGTCAAAATAAATTAAAATAACGGAAAAACTCTGTGTCACTACCATTTTCCTAGATTTTTTCCTAATGCATATTTCAATAAAAGCACTGGCCAGTTTTGGCTCAGTGAATAGAGCATCAGCCTATGAACTGAATGTCCCGGTTTTTAGTCTAACCAATGGTACATACCTCAGTTGCAGGCTTGGTCCCTGGCCCTGGTCAGGGAGCCAGGGAGCAATGCAGGAGGCAACCAATCGATGTGTCTCTCTCACATCGATGTTTCTCTCTCTGTCTTTCTCACTCTTCCACTCTCTCTAAAAATCAATGGAAAAACATCCTCGGGTGAGAATTAATTAAAATTAAAAATAAAATAAAAGCATGACTCTGAAAATAGAATGGTCATCACATCCGCCTAAAACCATCTTATGCACCAAGGATTGGTGAAGAGATCTTACTTTATAATTCCCAAGGAAGAGATTTTTAAAGTAACTCACATTTTAGCCTTCTTATGAAAAGATGTTATTATTGGTTTCTCCCTGTAAACCTGGCTTCAAGGAGCCTGTTTCTGAGTGAGGAACGTCTGCTTCTTACGTAAGATCAGGTGCTGCTGGGGGCTCGGAGATGGGCAGCAGGCGATTGAGAAGAGACAGAGCTGCGGAGGCATTGATGTGGGCAAGGCAGGAAAAGACCTCCCGTTACCACCCTCCTGTGGGGATTCATTGCTGGGACCAAGGATGAGCAATTCCTTTCTGCTCTTCACGGGCAAGCAAGCAAAGAGACCACTTTTTTTTTTTATTTTTTTTTAATTTAATATATTTTTATTGATTTTTTACAGAGAGGAAGGGAGATAGATAGAGAGCTAGAAACGTCGATGAGAGAGAAACATTGACCAGCTGCCTCTTGCACACCCCCTACCGGGATGTGCCCGCAACCAAGGTACATGCCCTTGACCGGAATCGAACCTGGGACCTTTCAGTCCGCAGACTGACGCTCTACCACTGAGCCAAACCAGCTTCAGCGAGACCACTTTTTTTTTATCCGAATGAATAAACACAAAAGAATTGGGACTAAGAACATTTGGCATGTGCAAATTATTTATTCACAGGTAGCCATGAAATTCAGAGCGGAAATATTTAACTCTGACTTCGATTTCTTCCTACTAGTTTCTATCTTTTCCCCCTCGTGTGATTTCAGTTTTTACAATAAAAATTGTCACTTGAAAAAGTCCTTACAAACTAATAACCAGAAAAGTCAAGCGAGTCATACCCTGGGTTTCCAATTCTGTGTTTTGGAAACTCAAGCACTTTTGGAAGTAACCTCCATGGGCTGTCTACTGGCTGCCCTAAAACCAGCGAGAGGGGGCTGGGGACTTTCACTGCCTGCCTCCCGCATGCCCTCTACTCAGGATCGGGCTGGAAACCTGGACCTGTGCTCTGACTGGGAATCCAATCATGACCTCCTGGTTCATAGGTCGACATTCCAACCACTGAGCAACACTGGCCAGGCCTTTAGTGTCCCTTTTAAATGAAAGAAAATCTTTGTTACTGCGGGGGGGAAAAAATAAAATCATGATTTTTCTGTTTGTCTCCATATGCCAAAACAAACCACAAGTTCTTCACTGCAGAGGGTAAATAAAAATCTTGGAAACACAATAAAACGCTAACAAAGAGTCAGATGATTTAAAAAAAAACATGCTGAGGTAAACAGATGAAATTTCAGAGTGAGTTACACAAAGTCCTCTTTTTTTTTTTTTTTTTTTTCGGTTGGGCCATATTTTTGCTGCCTCTGTAACAGTTGATTTATGTCAAATAATATTCAAATCAATTCTTCCCAACTTTAATATAAATGTCTCAAACACTCATGTTTTATGTATAAACTTCCCTTCACTTAAAATTAAGTCTTTGAATATGAAACCTTAGAGAGTACAAATATTAAGAAAGAATGTGGTCAAAACAGTGTCGAGTAGCTTAAGCGGCCTTTCATTCAGCCGCTCACTTCCTTCGGGGGAGGGTGGACTTAAGGAGAGAATCCCTAATTAAGAAAGCAAGCCCTAACTAGGTTGCTCAGTGGATAAAGTGTTGACCTGCGGACTCAAGGATCCCAGGTTCAATTCCGGTCAAGGGAATGTACCTTGGCTGCAGGCACATCCCCAGTAGGGGGTGTGCAGGAGGCAGCTGATTGATGTTTTTTTCTCATCTATGTTTCTACCTCTCTCTCCCTCTCCCTTCCTCTCTGTAAAAAATCAACAAAATATATTTTAAAAGAAAAAGAAAAAAAAAAAAAAGTGAAAGGCTGAACACAACAGCTGCGGGAGCCTTTCCCTCATAACTCATCCGGCCGTTGAACCAGCCATAACACAGGAAACAAAATAATGCCCCATCCGTTTTCATTCCATTTGGTCATGCTGGAATTTACTGGACAGACAGATAAAACTGAGTGTTTGAGCTCTTTCAAGAATGTTTATAAGTAATGTAATCATTTTTTTAGGAGCAACCCATGACACAGGCAGTGCTGTGTGAGAGCTCATAACCAACATGAGCTCTCCCATGCTGGAGTCTGTTTTGGAAATGCTACCCTGTGAGCTCTGAGGTGCCACAGCGGTGCTACAGATTTAATTGACAATTGATTACCTAAATCCTCGTCAACTAGCCTAACGATGACTGTCTGGCACACCTTTGCCCGGCCGCCCAGCCTATGTGGTCCCACAGCCCTGCACCTGTGTGCTATCCCAACCCAGCTCACACAGGCGCGATGGCCTGACAGACCTGGACTGGCCACCCTGCCCCCACTCTGCCATCTCGGCCTGGGGGCTGGGATCCTGCTTGCTTTCCGGGTGGCCCTGGGATCTTAACCAGCTCCTGGTATGTCATGGACCCAAAAACGACTGTTGACAAGTCTGTTCCAAGGTCAAAACTGTGCCAAAGAGGAATTTTCTGGAAAGATGAGCACTTCCGTCCCTTAGCGAGGGGAGACATACAAATGCTCAAGTTATTTCCTTTGAAGGGTTTTCAATATTGAACAAATTTCATGGGGGTGGGGCTAACAGTTCTGCTCATGCTGAAGGCTCAGGATTCACCCAGACCAGCCTCACCAAAAAGGGCAGGAGATACTTCATTTGGAGTAAAGATTAGTTCTGTCTAAATCCAAAAAGAAGATTCAGCCCTGGCTGGTTTGGCTCAGTGGATAGAGTGTTGGCCCTCAGCCTGAAGGGTCCTGCGTTTGATTTCGGGCAAAGGCAGTACCTCGGCTGCAGTCTTGATCCCTGACCCTGGTTGGGGCACGTGGGAGGCAACCATCGGATGTGTCTCTTTCACCTCGATGTTTGTATCTCTCCCCTTCCTTCCACTCTCTCTAAAAATCAATGGAAAAATATCCTTGGGTGAAGATTAACAACAATAAAAACAAACAAACAAAAACAAAAAACAAAACTACTTATCCAAAGCCACACTGCAGAACTGAGGACACTCTGCTGCCATCTGGGATAGGGATGGAGGGAAAACGTGGGAAGTGGCATTTGGAAGGACAAGCGCGAACGCTTTAAGCTTCTGTTTTGTTTTACTAAGTTTGGAACCTCTACTGCAAGCTGCCCACACACCCCAGACTGTCCGGGCAGGCACGGCTTCAGACAGTATGTCCTGTTGTTCAGGGAAACAGGAGCACATCCTCCAAACGCAAACATGTGAGACACATCAACTGCATCTCATATGCTGTCTCACCTCTAGAGAGCGTGTGAAAACCACTTGTCTTTAAAGTTGAAAAATAGGGTCACTATTATGCAGGGAATGTTTTCCCCTTCAACCGGTATACCTGGAATACAATTAATTATATAAATGAATGCCACCAAATGTGAAATTCTAAGTGTGATGTGGATATTTCAAAAGTCTATACCCAAATAAACCATCATAGTAAAAAAAATTTGAAAAAATGCATTGATGTTTAAGAAACAAGTTTTTTTTTGTTTTTTATTTTTTTTTAAATATATTTTTATTGATTTTTTACAGAGAGTAAGGGAGAGAGATAGAAAGCTAGAAACGTCGATGAGAGAGAAACATCGACCAGCTGCCTCT